TGCGGGGGGGGGGGGGGGGGCGACAGCAGAAAAGGCTCTCCTCCTAGACCCTGCCAGTCAAAATTCTCTAGCTGACGGGTCTGTAACACATCCTTCCTGCCAGACTGGGTGGGATGGGTCAATATAACCAGGACCAAACAGTTCCTCAGGTAACCTGGGCCCATGCCATGAAGGGCTTTAAAGGTCATAACCAACACCCTGAATTGGACCCAGAAGCCAACCGGCCCTCAATGCAGCTCACACAGCAGAGGTGTTAATGCACAGCCCTACAGATGCCCATAACTGCCCGTGCCACTGCATTCTGCACCAGCTGCAGCTTCCGGATACTTTTCAATGTAGCCCCATGTACAGCACGTTGCAATAGTCCATATGGGAGATGACCAAGGCATGAGTGACTGAGAGAAAGGCTTCCCGATCCAGGAAAGGGCACAACTGGTGCACAACATGGAGTTGAGCCAAGGACCTCCTAGCCACGACTGCCACCTGCTCTTTGAGCAGGAGTCGTGAGTCCAGGAGAACCCCCAGATTACACACCAGCTCTGTCTGGGGCAGTGCAACCCCATCCAGGACCAAAGAAGGTAAGCCTCCAGATACGGAAGAGCCCCAAACCCACAGCCACTCGAGTTGTAGGTTCAGCTACCAGGGTTCAGTTTAAGCCTGTTGTTCACCATCCAGACCTCCACAGCCTCCAAGCACCGCTAAAGAACATCCACAGCATCACTTAGTGCACCCGGGATGGAGATGTACAACTGAGTATCATCAGTATACTGATGACACCTCATCCCATATTATCTAGTTAATTTTTATCTTGTATTCAGTATATCTTTAGATTTTTAATTAATGTTTTCTGCTAACTTGTACCTTTAGGATGCACCTCTTTCTTCTAAAATGATGGCAGTTACCCTAGTAAATAAGCAGAATTGTTCAGTATGCTTTGATCAACAGGCTCTATTCATCAGAAAAATGAATCACACTTCCTGCATATGTTCACTGCTTCATTGCAACCACTGCTGTATTTAGTTTGAGTGCAAGTATACCCACAGCATGATCATGTGTGACAAAGAAAAGTGGGATGCAACACAAATACGTACATGTTCCATAGATATGCACTGTTAGGAAGTCATATGTCGGATGGGCTATTGTTCGGCATATGAGGACCTATTTGTAACTCCGTCAAGGTTCATTTTCCCTGGTCTGGGAACTCTGATTGGAGTAATCTCAACATGCACTGCTTGTCTGTCTTGTCTAATTTTTGCACCCCAAATCAGGGTATATAAATGTGGCCAAAAATATATTCAAGGCTGTTTCTTTAGAATAGAAGAGGAGATTATAGACATGTTTCAAAGCAATGGTCTTATGCAATAAAATTCCATAAAAATCACAGATGACAACACACATGTACCTCCCATTTTTGTCAGCTTCTTGAACAAAGGTAGAGAAGGCCTATCTGCAAAAACTTCTCCTTGCTGAATGAGACATTCTTTTACTGCATCATAGCCGTTCAGTACAATAGCTGATATGCCTCCAAGATCAAGACTAAAAATCTTAAAAACAAATAAAAAAAACTGCATATAATTTCCAATAATTAAATTAATGTACATTATGATCTTTCTCTTTGAATGATTGTTTCTTGTTTGACTAATATTATTGTATGAAGCCCACAAATTCACTTTTTGTATTGTTTTCAGAGTATATCCTAACATATACTGTAAGCAGTACATGAAATATGTAATTATTTACAAATATTGTCTTCATTCATAAATATTTTCCAAAATTCACAGAGAATTTCTAGAAACACTAGATTATTCAGCCAGTCCTATCTGTGGCTAGGATTACTGTCACCATACAAGCACACTACACAGTGAGTTTCCTATTTGTCACTTTCTAGTAACAAGTTAGTTTGACTTTTCCCCCCCTTACATCCCCATTTCCCAGCTCTCGACTGGTTGCTTAAAATGCTCATTCAAAGCATAAGCAGAGAAGAAAAGCTATTTGGCACTTACTGTATACTTTAACAGAGTTGAAAGAAAACAGTTTTTTTTGTTTTTTAAAAAAATCTGGATAACTTGGAAACTGACAGTTTTAACACTATACTGGACAAATCTGTTTGGAGGACAATTTATTGAAACGGGTGGATTATAAGTGTTCTATTTTGTAAGTGAAAAACTACACAAAGCATATCTTAAGATAGTTTAGCAAGTTTGTCACATTAAGAATTCTGTCTCGCATAGAGTGAAGCAAAGTACAAAGAAATTACATTCTGATATGTATGTACCACAATTATAAAATGACTTATTTGGGATTATGTCCCAGCAAGTTAATTATATATAGACTGTACACTAATTCTCTCTGCCCTGGGCCACCCCCAGGTGAAAGGTTGTACAAATGTAGCAAAGATCATGGACACAACATTGTATGCTTTTTTTGTTTTTCCTTGTAAGCTTGCCTCTTTTCAGCTGTGTTGCACTGGGTCGGTAAGAAACGAGAAGAAATCGTTCTCCTGATAAAGATCAGCAGCCTGATTTCTCCAATGCGCCAACCCAAACCGGGTGTCCTCCGGTTTGCACAACAACTCCCATCACCCACACCAGCAAAGTCAAGGGACGTGCAGTGATGGGAGTTGTAGTCCAATCTATGTGGCATGCACCTGACAGCAGAAAGCTGAGAGGCTGCGATGCGAGTGCTGAACAGGCTGCCAATTCCCTTTTGATCCGCCGCCGTCCCGCCCGAACATACTTGCCCGTACAGCTGACTCTGTCTCTTCATGTAGACGTGTGGCTGCTCCGAGGCCAGGGAGTGGATATTGCCGATGAGAGGGAGCCCCGCCGGACCGGGCGGAAAGCCAGCCGGTCTCTTCTGCCTCAGCAACTGCCTCACCACCAGCGCCAGCACGAGCGAGAGGAGAGCGGCGGCGGCGCCCAAGCCCACCAGCAGACCCTGGGGCCACATTCCTCTCAGAGTCCCAGCACCTCCCAGGCCAGCAGCGAATTGGTAACACAGCAGTCCAGCCTCAGAACGCCTCCTTGCCTTGTTCCGTGTTTTTATGGGATGCCGGAACTGCTTGTCAAGCCGTGGCGAGCCGGATTGGTCGGTTCTTCTCGCCCAGTGGCACTGTTTCCCGCTTCCTTCTGGCCCGTCAGGATTCCAAATTCTGTCGGTGGAATTTCAGAAGCTGGGCGCTGAGGCCACGTGTTGCGAGGAGTGCTTGCAAGCCAATGCCGTCTCTACCCTCGCTCCACCCTGCGCCTTTACCTTAGGCAGGATTTTCCAATAAGCGAAGCAACTTATGTAATAACGCAACGTTGCTGAGAACTGATTTAAATGGGGTGGAGAACGCCTGTTCAGGCCAGAAGCAGAGATGCGTCTTCTTGACACTTGTTTTGAAATCTAGAGAGATCAACTTCACTTCTTTAGGCTTTTGATGTCTCTCTCTTAGGTCTCTTTCTTAAATGTACCGAAGAAAAATTGTAGAGCTTAATATACAAGGCAGTTAATAGTGGGTTCAGCTTATGATTTTGTGCTATTTCCTGTCTAATTTAATTGTGGTACTTGTTACATTTTCTTTTAAATTCCACCATACATCTTTGAATCTTTCCCCAACTTCTCCCCAACACATTTCTTTGGCAGGCTATTAATTACACAGACTTGGAACAGGCTACACTTTCAAGTGCTACACTTAATTTCAGTTCAGCCATAAAAACATGTTATAAAATGTACACATGATAGAATATATTTTATCTGTTCCGTGGGTAAAGATAGAAAATTTTTGTTAAGTGTGAATTAAATAAACATGCTAATTCTTATTCAAAAATGAGAAACTTCAGCAAATGACATTCCAAATTAATTTTATTTAAAATATTAATGCATGCTGATATCTGAAATATTCACTCTTATTTTAATTAAAAAGTTTTTTGCTGGCTATTACTGCAAGAATTATGGAACTGCCACTGTGAAAATTTTTATAGAATACTTCGCTCATTCTTCCTTTTTATTTCCCTTCTGCTTTGAAAAGTTGTTGAAACAGACTTTGGGTGGAAAGCTAGGCTATTCAGCTGTGCTCTTTAGATATTCAGGGATCATTTTTTTCCCCAAGAGCATTAGCTGTTTACATACTATTGTCTATTTGTTGTTCTAAAATACTTTTGAGTTGAACAGTTTCCAGTATATAGACTAGTCCTGTGACCATGATTAAAACAGTAACTAGAATACTTCAGGTGTATTTGCCGTTCTTGTATCAAGATTCTCCTATGGAGTGCAGGCATGGGTAACCTTTTGGTGGCCTGAGGCTGCACTTAACATGGGGGTGGGAAATAGGCTACACTGGTTTTAGCAATGATGCAAAGTAGGCAGGGCCAGACTTTTTTCCCTGAGTTCTGGAGACGTTTTGGAACATGACAGTCATAATCCATGACATAATATTTCTGGCTTCATTTTTTTTTAATTGATTCTTCTTTTGACATTATTCTTGATTTGCTTCTGAGATAATGATTATAAAATAGATGATGATAATATTAACTGTTTGACATGGTGCTGGTACAAAGCAATTCCTGAAACACTAGCAGTAGCAATTACTAATTTGGTAGAATATTTTCAGGGAAAATATTGCAGAAAGATTCCATCAAATTACTAATTTCATTAAAAGTCTCCCATGGTAGGCTATGCCTTGATAGCATTCCTTGCCTCTCAGAATGCATTTATCTTCCTAGCACATTTGAGTTTTTACAGTCCACACAAAAATGGGATTAAGGAACAGAACCATTTCCAAATGGAAATGCCTGAGATAGGAGCAAAGGTTTTTGGTTTTTGTTTTAGTTCTAAGGTGCCTTCCTGGAAAAGACCTAGAGGTCAGAGTTGAATCTGGTGACAAAAAAAGCTTGTCATTTAACTGGTGTTGAACTCAGAGAAATCAATAGAAGGAAAAGAGTCAGGAGAACAGAAGGAAATAACCAAAGAAGCACCAGTCAAAAGGATATGGAAAAGGGATAAAAGCAAAGGGAAGAGAGAAAAAGAAGGTATCTGCTAAAGAAAAGAATGGCAGTTAAACAGAACCTGAGCCATGCTTAGAAAAGTCAAAGTTTTTAGCCAAAATGGCAACAGTAAGATTGGAGCCTCTTTGGGTCATATGAGCCAGTTAATTTGGGAAGCGGGTGTGTTAATTAGATGAAGAAAATGGAGGTTGTGAAAGTTTGGAAAGAAAACAAGATCTAGGCTCAAGTGGCTGAATTGTCAGATGTCATGGCATTGGTCACCTTGGAAGACCACCTTTTCTGGTCCTTGATGGGGGAGCACATCCTTCTTGTCCTATTAGATCTCTTGGCAGCATTTGATACTATTGACCATAGTATCTTGCCGGATTGCCTAAAGCAGTGTTGTCCAAACTTGGCCACTTTAAGATGAGTGGACTTCAACTCCCAGAATTCCCCAGCCAGCCATGCTGGCTGGGGAATTCTGGGAGTTGAAGTCAACTCATCTTAAAGTGGCCAAGTTTGGACAACACTGGCCTAAAGGGATGCAGATGACACTCGTACATGAAAACTTCAGGCAAGGCTGGGAATGCCATAGAAAGCTTGAACTGTGTCTGGAAGCTATCAGAATCTAGATGGGGCTAAATTTGATTAGGCTCAATCCTTCAAAGAGCAAGTTGCTTTTTGTCAATAACTTTCAGGAACTTTGGACCTAGCACTTACTCTGGATGGGAAGGCACTCCCCTGAAGAAGTTAGTTTATGATTTGGGGGTTCTGAATGTGTGGCTACTGCTTAAGCTACAGGGAGAGGCTATGCTGAGTGCAGGGGGGGGGGGCTGTCCAACTTCAATTGGTGCACTAGTTATGATGCTACCTGGACAAGGATGCTATGTGGGGTAACTGCTGGAGATGATCTAAAAGCTGACAACCCTAAAGCTGCAACTGATCCAAAATGCAGCAACTATGGGACAATCCCATCATAGTTCAGTACTTCAGTACAACTTCAGTACTGAAG